AAGGACACTGCCCAGGGGATGCCTGGATGTTTGATGTTTTACCATCCTTGTGGGAGGCTTCTCTCATGTTCCCACATGGTGAGCTGGAGCTGACACAGGGAGCTCATCCATGCACTTCCGGGATTTGAACCTCCGACCTATTAGTCTTCAGTCCTGCTGGCACAGGGGTTAAACCAATTGCACCACTGGGGGCTCGACTTAGTGTGTGAACAAAGTACTCATGAGGTTGGAGAAGAAACCTAAAGCACAAAAAGGCTAAACACAGGGGTAGAGAAAAAGATCAATGAAAAGAAAGATTCGGAGAGGGTGGGGGAGAGAAAAGAGACAGTAATACAGGGAGATGACAAATACAGTTTGTGTTTTAGACAAAAACTGGAACTAGCTTAAAGAGTGGAAAGTGAGAAAGGCCAAAGTGAAAGGAAAAGAGATGAGGGTGGAGGAGGAAGAGAACAAAAAACCTCTGAGGTGAGGTGTGGGACTACTTTAATCTGGTCGAAACCAAGCAATTTGTCAAACTCTAAATAAGTAAATGAATACCAGCTAGCTCAAATACAAATCCAGTTAGAGTCAAAATTTTAAAAGTGCATATGGCAGGCAGAATGGAAATGTTCCTGGATATTTTTTTGTACGTGCTTGCTGCACACTCATTTCAATTGGAATTACATTTGAATGATTGTTAATCATTTGTATCACCGCTTGGAGACATGATTCATTGTGTGTTGGGAGCATATATGGACTGATACTGAAATCGATTTAGGATGTTTTTGTTGCCTTGTGATCTTTGTTTCTTAGGTTACCGGGATAACACTTAAATGTTAAGCAGAAAGTTACTTTGGTGCTTTGTTGGTTATGTCTGCGTTGTGGCAGCATTCATTGGGGTGCAGGAAAAATGAAATATTACTGTTTATGATTACAATAATTTACTACACATCACATCAATACAGAGCTCAGTTTACAGGTTGTACAAAGAACTCTGTTATGTCATGAGCTGGGGATGCGGAATGAGTTCCAAAGTGGAACAACATGGTGACATAATGTCTTCAGGGCTGCCTCTTCTATTGGGCAGATTGAGGCAGATATGGAGGCAGGAGGACAGTAGGGGTGGTATAAGGTGCTGGGAAAAGAGGTTTTAATGTTTGTATATATTTATGGTTTTATGTCCCGGCATTGAATGTTTGCCGTATATATGTTGTGCTCCGCCCTGAGTCCCCTGCAGGGTGAGAAGGGCAGAATATAAATATCTTAAATAAATAAATAAATAAATAAATAAATAAATAAATAAACTATGGACTATACAGCAGGTCTTCACTGCCTAACCTACCTTACTATACTCAACTATCTTCCATGTTATCTCATCACCATTAAGCCAGAATGTTTTGTAATTGACACTGGATAGTAATATCTAGATTAATGGATATTTGGTGGTTTCCATCCCCATAGACCCCACTTCAGCAACTGTAATATGGCTAAAATATGCATCAACCTTTTTAGTGTAGTGATAGTCACAGATAGGCCTTTTCACATTTACAACTGTAGTATGTGCTGCTCTGTCATATCTGTACACTGTATTCATAAATGTTAAATATAAGAGGAAAAGAAAAGGTGTGCATTATGTATGGTCCATAAACATATTGTTTTGAAAAAAATATTCCGATTGCACGTAATAAAATTGCCTCCTTCACAACATCTTGGAGGGCACAAATTGTGTTATTTTCTGTCCCTGCCCCCCTGAGCCTCTGGACCCTGAAGACTGTATACTCCTGTTGTATAATGTAAGAGTAGTTATTATTATGCATATGTATTGATGCTAATAAGATGATGATGATAATAATAATCTTTATTTATATCCCGCCCTATCCTCCCAAGGGGACTCAGGGTGCTTATAATAATATGCACTAAAAGTTTAATTTCGAGAGAGCTCTAAGTCAGGGCTTCTTAAACATTTCTCATTCACAACCCATTTCCATTTGAGAAATTTTTATGTGACCCCAGGTATATAAGCCTATAAAATAGGTATACAATCAAACATTTACTAATAATAAGTCAGCTTTAGCAAGGCTTTTTAAACTTGTCTGTTTTTTCCTTTTTATGAAATATGGCTGAAGCATTTTCTGCCGAGTCCACTGCAAATACTTTACGTTATTGCTAGCATATTAACGTAATGTCTAAAACAGCTAGTAGGTGGAGATCAAAAACCTTTTACTTTGGACAAATTTTTCATGACCCTAGCATTGAGCTAAGGGGACTCCATTTGGGGTCGGACCCACAGTTGAAGAAGCAGTGCTCTAGTCAGCATAGCTGGTATAGTATAGTTTTGACAATTAAACACATTCAGATTTATTTTACAAAGAAATTGGAAAATGTGTTTCTAAATTGAGAAAGTGACAATTGCAAAATGTTCATCACAACATTTCAACTCTTTTCCCCCTCTAGAAATATCGGCAGTATATGTCAGGACTTCTGGCTCCTCCTTATGGTGTTATGGAAACGGGCTCCAACAATGATAGTAAGTATAATATGATTGCAGTTCATTACAGACTTACCTGGGGAGTAAGAGATATTGAACAGAGAAGGAAAAAAATCTGTCAATTTTGATTTTTTTCCTCCTAATTTTTCCAGTCTTTACAGTTGTTTAGCCCAAAGCCTGATAATTTTTGTTTAGTTTGCTTGAAAAATTGTACACATTTTTCTTCGTACTTTTCCAAATACTGCATAATTATTTCTGTTTTCAGTTTTGACTAATATACATTTTTTGCTATTTGTTTTCCTAATAAGCTGAATTTCAGAATCTTATTTTCCTAAATGTATATATTTTCGATTGCCAACTTAGGAACACTGCAACTTTCACAGAATAACACATTTTTACTTTGGACATGGGTTTAAAATGGTAAAATTATATATGCCTTCTTAAAATTGTGAACTGAATCGATTATCTCTGCCATCTCTGCTCTTGTGTAAACAACCACACTAATATGCTGCCCGTTTTCAAAGTCAGTATGAGGAATTCGTGTTCCTCATTTTTATGAAGCGTGCTGTCCCTGTCTATTTCTAGCAAAGTCAACACGACTTCAAATAACAACAAAACCACCTGTCTGTTTGTAGCATATGTTCAGACTGTTTGGATGGAGGTGGTGAGGAATTGTTGGGAGAAGAGCACGGTTTTTCAGTCTTCGTGAAAGTTTCTACCCACATTGAAAAATATCAGGATGTAAAAGCAACATCAGAAATGGCTGTTGACAAAAGATGCTTTTGAATATTATCTCATGTTTTCAAGGTATAATTAATAAGACAAGATAAATTAAGCAAGCCTATGAGGAAGACAAAGAAAGATTGGCCTTTCTTTCATACCCATGTGTACTGAAATAATGTTTAGTTATTTGATTTTAACAGATTTCCTGAGTCCAGGGTTTAAAAATGTGTCGTATTAAGGATATCAGGAAGTGCTCATAGCTTCACTATATGAGAATAACATATTTTATAAAGGTACAAGTAAACACAATTATGCAACTTGAAAAGTAAACTCTAATTCTCAAGTACTATTATTTTAATATATTCCTTGCTGGAACTCTAATTCTCAAGTACTATTATTCTAATATATTCCTTGCTTTCTTATAGGGATGCCAGACAAGGACAATATGTCTAGCAGTAGCCTCTGCTCCATGGCTAAAAATAGCAATAAGGTAAAAACATGTTTCTGATCATTTTATAGTGATGGAGGAGGAGGAGGTTAGGGCATCATAATATAGGTGCATTGAGTTAAGCTCATGTTTTGTGATCAAATAATATTTCACATTAAAAATGTCAAATTCAGGTTGGGAAAACTGAACCCCAAACTTCATCTGCGTACTCCCGAAACACCTCGCCAGACCCCCAAAGACCCCAGTGCAATTTTTGATGCTGTTTCGTAATGATTGTTGCCTTTAAGTCACATTCTCAAACTTCTGTTTTTAAAGCTGCTTCATGACCAAATAGTGACTGGAAGTGAAAAAATCCCCACTTCTGATCCCCATGTTAGATAGAAAGTTAACCAAAAAAGCAAGATATGCCTGGACATCATCAGGAAGAATGTGCAGTCCACGGGGGCATTGGAGGGGCCTTGGCATAGCTGGCCAAGCCAATTCTGAACAAAGTGCAAGCAATATTCAGGTTGAATATGCCCTGTCCTAAAATCCAAAACATTCCAAAATCCAGAATCATCCACATGGATGGCTGTAATAGTGATATTTTTGCTTTCTGGTGGCCCAATGTGCACAAACTTAGTTCTATGCACAATATTATTAAAAATATTGTGCATAATGTTGCCTTCAGGCTAAGTGTATGCATATATAAAATATACATAAATTCTGTGTTTAGACTTGGGCCCCATCTCCAAGATACCTCATTATGTATATGAAAATATGCCAAATACCACCCACTCTAAAATATATATATATCCAAAATATAAATCCAAAACACTTCTGGTTCCAGGCATTTTAAGTAACGGATGTTCAATCCGAATAGTAAACCATAATTGTGTGGGGTGAGTTGGTTGAGAAGAGGCAATATGTGTTGATCTAATTTCTACTTTTAAAAAACTATCCAAATGTTTTGCCAACTACATTATGTTTGGTGGGTGGCATTTAGCATCTTTTCCTATAGTATTCCAAAGTATTTTGTTCCTACCCTAATTGAGCAGTGGGTTAAACCGTTGAGCTGCCGAACTTGCTAACCGAAAGGTCGGTGGTTCGAATCCAGGGAGCAAGGTGAGCTCCTTCTGTTAGCCCCAGCTTCTGCCAACCTAGCTGTTCGAAAACATGCAAAGCCGTTCGAAAACATGCTTCAGCCCCCCCCCCCCCCCAAATTTTCATGGTGGTTCATGAAAAGGCCTTACTGGTGCATTATTTAAACTGTTATGTTTATTCATATCATGATCTGATCACCATACTCAATATCCCATATAACAATACAAAAGGTTTGCTAGGGTAGATCCTCTTTCACTCAGACTCAACCCCCCCTGAAACTCAGCCCCCCCGAACCCCCCCAAAAAACTCAGCCCCCCCCCCAAATCGAAATCCTGGCTACGGGCCTGGCTCTGGTGGGAAGGTAACGGGGCTCCATGCAGTCATGCCAGCCACATGACCTTGGAGGCATCTATGGACAATGCCGGCTCTTTACTTAGAAATGGAGCTGAGCATCACTCCCCAGAGTTGAACATGGCTAGACTTAATGTCAAGGGAAAACCTTTACCTTTAATGGTACAGCTTTTTTGGATTCTTTTTTGTTTTCATAGGGACATATACAGTGCTCAACCTCTCTCTCTGTATTTTCTTCCTAACTTCCATCCTTTGCCTCATTTCCTTTCTTCCCTCATGCTCTCCTTTTACATATTTCATTTTTTAAAAAGCTATCTCCAGAGCCTTAGTGACAAAAGCAATAAGTGGAGTGACAGATCAACCCCACACCTACACAGGAGTCAACCTGAGAACTCAAGTGAGAAAGAAAATGTGTGATAATAACAACCCCATCTTCACTTCTTTGCAAATCTTGCCTCTTCTAATATTTTTGTACATGTTAAAAATCCTCTTGAACACCTCACAATAAAGCAGCATGAAACTGGAAGTTTGGGAAAGAGTCTGGGGAGAGGGATGTCTATAGAAGCTTTCCTGGACTTGAATTCTCAGGCTGACTAGTCTGAAGGGAAAATATTGATATTTCTGCATGCAGTAGGCTACACTTTAGCTCACTCTTTTAGCACTAAGGCTCCAGACAGAGTTAAAAAAGAAAATATTCAAAGGAGGCACTTGTGGGGGTGGATTAAAAGGGAAAGAATGAGTGGCATTGGGGACTGGGATCTTTTCCCCCATTCATGCTATATACTCCAGTTTCTGAATCCAGATTATATGGCAGAGTAGGATCATATAATCCAGTTCAGAGCTGATAATCTGGATTCAGAAACTCTGTTACATGGCAGTGTAGATCCAGCCAGAGATAGAGAAAAGAAAGGAGAGTATCTGGACCAAGGAGCAACAAAGTTATTTTCATTTATGGCAGAAATAAATCACTGCAGAATGAATTGCCAAGGCCATTGCAATTATGTACAATAAAACAGATTAAGAGCTCTTCCAGACAGGCTTCAATCCCAGGAGGAACTGGGATCTACAGTATTAACATTCACTTGATTTCCTACAGTAGTCACTTTTTGCAGTCACGAATGCCTCCATCTTTTGAAACTTATTTGGTAAGAATATTTAATCTACATTCTTAAAGTTTTATTGTATTGAAATCTTTTTTGACTTAGGCCCCCTCCACACTGCTCTATATTCCAGGATCTTATCCCAGATTATCTGCTCTGAACTGGATTATATGAATCTACACTGCCAGATAATCTGGGAAAAGCAGATAATTTGGGATCAGATCCTGGGATATAGGGCAGTGTAGATCCAGCCAGAGGTATTTACCAGTATTTTTGTTTCCTTTAGGACAAATGATCAATATTCTTACTATCTTCTAAAAATTACTTTTAAAACTATTAATTAAACTACTGCTGATAAAATTCAAAAAACAAGGTTTCTGGGAGATTTCACTCAAATAGGAACAACTATCTAAAAAGAAGGAGGGGAAAAAGAAAAACATGTTTTCTTTCTTATTCAGATCTACCACTTCCTATTTGTTTTTTCTACTTCCTTTGATGGACTTATCTTTTTAACACACCTTTCTAACCCTTACTAACCTTGCAGACATCACTGTATAGACAAGCTTTTCTTCCTGTTGTTTATAATATGGGGCTTCCTGTCCCATCCTTATCCTTTATGAAAATAAACTCTTTTAGGTGGAGTTAATATATGGCACTTTGACAGCAATTTCCATTGTTGTGACTAACACAGGAAGGAAGATCAACACCCCTAAACATGATTTTTACCCAGGATGCAACTTTATTATTCGTTTAAAGGTAGATTTTAATTTGATCAGTACAGGTTAAAGACAAAAGCCTTCCTTTAAATAAAGCCCAGTGAAGCAATTGTGTCTTTATACAAGAAGTCAAAGTAAATATAGTTTTTATTATTTTCTGGGGAAATGATAGTTTATTATTCTATTAATTGCCATTCACTGTAGAAAAGAGTTAATGGTTTTGTAGCAACAATTAAATTGGGTTGTTGGGAGTTTTCCGGGCTGTATGGCCATGTTCCAGAAGCATTCTCTCCTGATGTGTCTCCTGCATCTGTGGCAGGCATCCACAATTACCATGTCAGACTACACAGAGAAGCCATTAAAACCCACAAGCATGTGGACAATTTCAACAGAAAGGAAGAAACCATGAAAATGAACAAAATTTGGCTACCAATGTTAAAAAAAACCTCTAAAAATATAACAGTAAATAAAGAACAACACGCAGAAAGCAGGGGAATTCCAAACAAGAAACAATCAGGACCACCTAATCACCTCCTGACAAAGGAGTCCCCCAGGCAGTAAGAAGCCAGACCTTGAAACTACTAGGCCATTAAATGCTAACCAAGGTTCACACCTACCTCAAACAGACACCCTGGACAGTCCAAAGATATATAAACCCTATTTTCCTAGTTTCCAATAGACCTCACAACCTCTGAGGATGCCTGCCGTAGATACAGGTGAAATGTTAGGAAATAATGCTTCTGGAACATGGACATACAGCCCAGAAAACTTACCACAACCCAGTGATTCTGGCCATGAAAGCCTTTGACGATACATTAAACAATTAAATCTCAAAAGAATTCTATACAATTATTTTTTTATTAATGTAAAATGAATGTTATTTACATTGAAAGGTACCAACCCACCCACCCCACACGCCCAAATGTAAAACAGTATGTAGGTTCCTTCAGATCCTGGGCTTTCATGATATTATGAAAGCCCAGGATACACAGAACTTGAGAGCCAAGCAAAATTTATTGCACAGACCATATAAACTTTACTATTAACATTTCAAGATAGCATGGAATTTGTGGTAAACAAAAAGAAAGTTTTCCAAGCTCTGCAGACTTTTGTAAGCATCTTAACCAGAAATAAGAAATAAAATCAAGAATTTTAAGCAAATCACTATATTACGCCACAAATCCCAACTGATGTCAGTGGGATCGCTTGAACAGAATACTGATGATGTCTGGAGTATCACACATGCCTTATTTCTGCATTATGGCCAATTGTCCATGTACTGGAGGGAAGCTTACTATTTTCTCGTTCATGCTTGGATTGTGAGGTAGAGGAGGCACATTGTTTTTAGGAGAAGAGATCGGAATAGGTGGCAGGTCATTTTGTTCCATCCTAGGGCTTAATGTAAGTGGGTTTTTGGCTATCAAAGATGCTGCCTCAAAACAGATTATACTAGTAATAGCATTTTAGGAACTATAATCTGTTTCCTTTTCATTTTTAGGGATTTGCCTTCCTTATATGATGAGTTTAACCCAGAGTGCTTTGATAGGATCAGCAACTATTAGATCTCCCCCAACTCCCATGAGTCCTTATAAAAACGAATGAGCTAGTATTGAGCTTCTTTAGGAATCCAAAAGGCTTCCTTTCCCCGAGCTGACCAATTTAATACTGAGGAATATCTTTACACAGAAAGTCAAGAAGATTAACAGACAGACCTTGGGGGTAGTATATCCAAATAAATTTGTCTACCAACAGAATGGCATCAATAAGGGAAACAGATACTCCTTCCTCGTGC